AGCTCCGGTGAGAGCTGTCCCTGCCGCCTGCCCCGCGCCCGGGCGCTGCCGGACCCCGCGCCGCCCCCACCGCGGAGCGGTCCCGGTCCCGGTCCCGGTCGCGGTCGCGGGTTGAGTCGCTGCTGCGCGGTTCCTCGTCAGCGGTTTGCCTAATTATAAGATTGGCTGATCCAGGTACGTCATTGGCCCCTTTGTACCTTCTGTATATACATAATCTAAAGACTGCTTTTAGCAGTAATAAAGCAGAAATTACTTAAATAATATTTTTCCCAAAAGCTCAGAAATTCAATGAGGTGTTTTTTGTTTTAAATAAATATTTTTTTTTAAAAAAAAAACTGTTTAAGAGCTATAATTCATGTGATGTTGAGCTGGCACGTAAAGTTAACGTGCAATACTTGAACTTAACTAGTGATTTATGTAGTAAGAGAATGATACTAATAAAAATGCCAAACGGACAAAAGTTATTTAAAATAACAGTGTTTGTAACTCGTCTGTAGGATTAGAATCAGACCACGTTTTGAGGATATTGACTGGTTATTTTTCAGTCAGTGAAATTAGTAAAAGTAAGAAGAGGGAGATTTTGCTTGTTAATAACCTTGCAGCTCGTGAGGCCAACGACTCTGTTAAAAGTATAATGAAGACTCCCAAGTCACGTGAGGAATGAAATCTTTGCATCAGGTGTATTTTGAGGACCTTACGTTTCCCTGAAGTGCTTATAATCAGATGCAGACTTTAAGGCTAGAAAAATGTGTATACATAAATAATCAGCATCTATTAATGATTTTAATACCAGAGAGATGTAGAAAATCTAGAGTAAACAAAAGCTTATTTTTAGTTGCTAAGCATCTTGCTAAGTGAGCAGATTGGTCATGATGTGACTTTGCCAGCCGTGACATGTTGAAAAGGAGGAAGGTAGAGGAGAAAAGATAGCAAAGAAGTGAGAAAGATACAACCCAAAATATAGTGAATGAACATTAGGACATTTCTAGATATCCTGTGACTCTGTTGCCAAGCCCATAAAATGTTAATTTAGTGAATAATTTTAATTAGTTGACGGAAAAGCAGCTCCTATACCAGAAGTCTCTGGTAAAGTTTAATCTCTGTTTTACAGTGAGCAGCTGAATTGGAGCCAGTCTCACAGGGATCTGATGATGATGATCCAGGAAATGAAAAGGTCTTTGCCTGAAAAGAAAAGGAATACCAGCAAACCCAGTACCATCAGTGCTCTCAACTATGCCTTGCAGTGTGTCCAGCAGGTCCAAGGTACGCATGGAAAAAATCTGCAAGCGTAGAAGCTGTACAGCAGCTTAGTTTAAATAATGTGTCTGGCAACAAATAACATAAAAACAAATGAAAGCATTCCTATTACCCTGCAAACAATTGACTTTCTGAAGCACTGGGGGTTGGTTTTTTAAAAAATAATTGTGTTATCTCTTCTACTGAAATGCCCACCTACTGCTTCTCTCTTCTTCAGAATCCTATAGCTAATAGGTGCTACTAATAACTTTCTGTTCATGCTGAAAAAAACAACATCCCTGTCCCACTTCAAAAAAGTATTGGATAGTCTGTGTTTTCCAACAGAACTAAGTAGCTAAAATTGTTCTTTTGCCATCATGTTCTGTCCTTTCTACTTCCTCATGCTCGTTTTCTGTAACATAAATAGGTCGATCCAGTAGCATAATCAGTATTTCTTTTTCCTTTGTCACTACACAGACCTTCCTCATCTCACCCTGGACTTCACCAAAAAGATGACAAAAGCACAAGGGCTGTAAGAAATACTTTCAAAATAGTCTCCTTACTGACTTCCTTGTGTTTGTTCTGCTTTTCCTGTTTTTTTTTTTTCAATTAGCAAACAATGACTTTTTCCAGGCTCTGAATGACCGAAGAGTGTTTCAGACAGATGTGATGACATACAGCATAGAAGAGTTGGTGGCAGTTGCATCTGAACACACTCTGAAAAACACTGTAAGGAATTCGGGCACACTCAAGGAGTTCATCATTTGCCGTTTCACTCTCTATTTAGTCTCCTTATATACTGTTTTGTGGAAATAGAATGTGTAAAATTGAAAAGCCTTTAAGTTTTAGCCCGACAGGCCTTTGTGTTTTTAAAGCTAGATCAAAACTACTTCTTATCTGTGCTGACTCAGGGAAACCAAGAGCAGTAAGTGAAGACATACCTTTTCTTCTTTTTTTTTTTTTTCTTTTTTGGCAGAAGCAACACATACCTTTTTGAGAATTCATTTAGAGCCTAGTAATCTCTTGAGACAGACTTAGCAGAATGTTTTCAAAGTTGTCCATAGTTGTAAGGGACTTTATTTTCTATTTGTACTCCTGGATTTAATTTTTTTTTTCTTAATTTGCAGAATGTGTCATGTTTTCTGGCTCTGCTTCAAAGAAAAGAGTCTTTCTTGATATTCAGTACTGTTAGGTGCCATATCAGAAATATTGCAAATGCTTTCTACTTGAAAGTTCTCACAATATTTTTGTATATGGAATTGTGGTGAATACTCTGAAATTTGGGGAGAAGCGTGTGGAGTGATAACCAGTCATTCTGGACAATGGCAAGCGCCACTGTAATTTGTTTCAGTTTTGATATCTCAGTCTTACTAGCATTTGTAAATCACGAGTAAGTTACTATAGCATTGGAGATTGTAGTAGCTCACACGCAACTTTAATTGGACACTAACTTAAAAACACATTTTTGAACCTCTGTCTTGGGTTTTGGTGTGTGGTGGGTTGGGTTTGTTTGTTTTGGCATTGTTTTTGGTTTGTTTTTTTTTATCCTTAGAATATCGCTATCATGTGTTGGGGCGGGATCGCATTTAGCGATGTTTGTTTTGCAGGACACATTTGTGGCTGTATTTTCCTTGCTTTCGGGACGCATGGTGCATATTTCTGAGCAGGCAGCATCCATTCTAAACTGTAAGAAGAAAGTGTTGGACTCCTCCCGGTTTGTAGAGCTGCTTGTCCCTCAGGACGTGAGTGTGTTCTACACACACACCGATCAGTCCCATCTGCCGCTTTGGAACATGGAAGGTCAAACAGGTGAGACTTCGCAGTACTCCCGAATGCTTTGCGTGTGTTTCTGTCTTTGCAGAATGAGGATAGAATAGTTGTTAATT